GTCCTCATGGGTTGTCCTGGGTCTGTGGGTCGGGTGACCCAGGCCTATCACTCACCCACCTGTCACCCACCCACTCGGGTGACCCAGGCCTAATGTTGACCCAGCTGTCACCCACCCAGGCTGCTTGGCCTTGACCCGCCCTCATCCCACCCAGGTCACCTTATCAAGACCCGCACCTGACCCAATGTCCTCGTGGGTGGGGTGGGTGCAGGTGGGTGCGGGTCTGGGTACTCGGTGCTCATCTCTGCAGTAAGGAAGCTAAAACTTCTCAAGCTATTTCACAAGTTTAGTTAAGACTCTTCGTTGTCCTTCTGTTATAATAGTTTGCTTGCTTTTATAAGTTTTGTTGCTAAAACAAAGTTGGCACAGCAAGTTATGCCGACTCTTGTAAAGACTGTAGGAGAAGGATCATACTTGGTACCACCTTCGGCAGACAAACTTCTTAACACATACAAGGACCTGCAAATTGAACTTACTTGTGATGACTAAAAGAAGTATAAGGCATGCAATAGAAATCATACCCAGAAGTAAAATTCCTAGGAGCCGATTTATAAGATCATTAAGATGTCTTGCAACCTTTCAACAATTCATGAATGAACTGTTCTGTGACTGGTTCGACCAATTCATAGTAGTCTACCTAAATGACATCTCGGTCTACAGTAAGATACCGGAAGACCACGAAAGGCATCTAAGAACGGTCCTTCATAAACTAAGAGAAAGTAACGTCAAGATTAATCATAAGAAGTCAAAATTTGTGAAGTTTGAAGTATTGTACCCCTTTGGTCATTTAACTTCAACATTTGTGACCGCAATTTTGGCGGTTTTTCTAACCAAAATTGTCAGGGCTTACTAGTTCCCGCCAGTAGAACCTGGCGATTTCGGTTCGAACAACGCCGAAATTGCGGTTAGGAATACCAAAGTTAAATGACCTGAGCCCGGATCTGGGGTCCTCTGGGAGAGTGCAGAAAACCAAAAAAAAAAAGAGATTTTTTTTTTTTTTTTGCACGCCTGGGTACTCAGGGCGTCAGACCCCCCCCGGCCAGGCAGGACTGGCCGGGCGTGACAATCTTCCTAGGTATAATATATTTTGAAATTTCTCGTTCTTATCTATGATACGATTTTGATTATTTTTTTTCCGTTTTTCGAAACTTGTCGTGTTCGGTTTTGTTCTGTAGCAGCCATGGCGGGCATGCCGCAAACTTCTGATACAACGGACTTGCCTGGACAGCTGGCTATCCTTCCTTTCCGGAACAGAGTCTTGCTTCCGGGGGGAATTGTCAGAATACGCTGCACCTCGGCAAGCAGGTACTCTACTCCCCTCCGCCCGACACACTCCACCTCTCTCTCGTACGGCCACCCCATCTCACCTCCTACCCTTCTGTCTCCCTCTGTCTCGCTTTTCCACGCACGTGTTGTCTTGATTGCTCCTGAGCTTCCTTCCTCTGCCTCTCTCTCTCTCTCTCTCTCTCTCTCTCTCTCTCTCTCTCTCTCTCTCTCTCT